TTTTTTGTGACAAAAAAAATTTTAAACTTGTACCTGTGTGACACATCTACTCACTGTCAAAGTTTTTCTGTAATTAAGAACCGTTAAAAATCTAACTATATGGACACCAGAAAGCAAATAATATTGAAATGTAAATGAAATAAAAATGACGTTATTTTATCTGAAAATCATCTAACAGAACTTAGACGGAGGATAAATATGTCACATAGGTACAAAATTGTGGTTATTTAAGTCACAAGAACTTGAACAAAAAAAAAGTCACAAGAAAATGTTTAGGATAAATGTGTCATTGTGGGCATAGATTGGGGTTTTTGATGTCAAAAAAAAGATTCGGGTAAATGCATCGTAATGGACATAGTTTAAAGTTTTTTTTTTGTGACTTCTTCTTAAAAGATAAATTCACACCTCCTATCCACAACAACAATCTCCCAAATTTCCAATGGGCCACAATCAAGCTCTAAAGCCCAACAATCATTTTCTCGTGGCCCAACCATCTTCTTCTTGTCTTCCCTCCCCAGCCTTCGCACACTGCGCCGAAGCAGAAATCAGACACGCACACACTGTAGCTTCGACTTCAAGGTGAACGTCGTCGACGGCGTCTGCGATTTTTCTTCTCAAGCTCAATCATAATCCTCAGCGCCAAGTTCGCAGATTGAGTGAACCTTCGAGCTCGGAAACTTGAGAAATCGCACGAAATGGTCCCTGACTATTCCTCCGCTTCGACGGCCAACACGAGTCACCTCTGTTCTTAGCTTCCGCAGGACTAATAGCTCCAACCTTCCGGAAGACATAACAATAAATATCATGGAGGACCTCTGTCGGCATCAGATATGAGAGGTTTTGAGTCCTTTGGGGGAGAGAGAGAGCATGATCTAAAATCGAGAACAGAGGATGGCCGCAGTGCTCAATGGACGAGCAATGGCAGCGACGAGCAATGGAGGACAGCGATTGTGCTCAAGCGATAAGCGACGGGGGCGGGGGGGACGATGGCGGTTCTCGAGGGAACGAGCAATGGTGGCCAGTCGTGTCCCCAGCCAGTCGCCCGGAGCTTCGCAGGCCTTGGAGTTGGATTTCACATAGTTCTATATTGAACTTGTGCTAATGATCTAAAATGGATTCACATGGTTCTATATATATATATATATAGATGCCCTAAACATGATTTCCAAATGCAATGACGATCAATTCTTTTTGGGTTTTTCTTTTTAAGAAATGCAAGTTATGTCTATGTGAATTCTAATTTAAACTAAAGACATGTGACATAAACTTCAATGCAATTTTATGTGATCTATTTCTAATAATGGATAAGAGAACCATGAACTAATCTAATATGATATGCAATCTCATTTATGAGCCTCAGCATGTAATCACTAAATGACATGGATACGAGGACATGGATATTATGATGTGGATATTGGATATTATGACATGAATATTATGACATGGATATTATGACGTGAATATGATGACACATATACGATGACAAAGCCCTAAAACATGTTATTACTAAATGACATGTAATACGTGACATGGAATTTATTAAACTAATTTTTATATGAGATACATATGTTTTAGTTTGTGATTTTCTTTTTAAAGCTAAGTTAGGAAACTACCCAATATATAATGACCTAATTTACACTAGGAAATAATTTATATTGAATCCTAGTTTAAATTAGATAATTTCCTGATTATTACATGATTCATAAGATAGCCAATTCTAAATGCAATACGATTTCTTGTGTATTTTCATAAGATGAATGTTTCCTAATCTAATTAATGACATGTAATATACAAGCCCACATAACGAAATATTTATCATATCCAAAATAGGTAATCGCGGATCCTATCTTAGGTTTTAAAGATCGAAATCCAAATTATATGCACGACTCGGAAAAAGAAAATTCCTATTTAAGATACGCCTAAAATCTTAAGCCAAATCAAAGTTAGAATTGAAATAATCCAAGTTAGGCAATCAAGTATTCAAGTTAAGCACAATTTAGGAAGTTTCCTTAATGGAAACTTTGATTTCAACGGATTTGGCATCAAGAGAAATTTCTGGCGACGGCGACGCTACGATTGTGACTGGCAAGGGAGCGGCGAGGCTTGGCCAGTGGTAGGAGGACCGTAACGGCAATACCAAAGTAGCTACGGTGGGTCTTCTCGAGCGCGGCAGTGGACAAAGCAGCGACGTCGGTCACACAACAGCTTTGGATCTGAGCAACAAGCGGCGGTGCGGCTCCGGAACGCTGCAGGTGTAGCGAGTGAACATGCAAAGAGAGAGCAAGTTGCTGTGCTTTGCTGGAGAAACACCAGGGAACTGCTAGTTGCTGACAGGAAGTTCGCAGGTGGCGTCGGCCCAGGTTGAGGCTGGTGGGAGGTTTGCCGAGATGCCGAAACTTGCTGAATGGTGTCGCAAACAGCTGTAGGGCTGGCGGCTGAAGGCTGTGACGAGAGGGATGGCTTGCCGGGACTTCGTCAATGTCGTTGGGAACGGCTGTGGCATCACGGAGGCAGCAGATTGCAGCAGCGAAATCTGGTAGGTGACGCAACATTGCTCCTAGAGTGAAGCGCGAGGCGGCAGGGCTCCGGCATATGAAGCAACTAGGCACGGTGGCGGTTGTTGGGGAAATTTGATTGCTAATGAAAGTAGAGAAATAGTAATAGATCCTTGATGCTCTTATGTGTGATGACAATTACTGTCCTTAGGCTACGTTTAGTAGTCGGGATAAAATTCAGGATAGGATAAATTTTATCCTATCTCGTGCTTGGTGCCTACATAAGATATGATAAAGTTGGATATAAGAGAGATATAGCCTGGATAAAATTTTCTTATAGAGGAGGTGGGATAAAGGTGGATAGGATTTCTAATATCCATAATAAAAAAGTTATTTTTCTCGAATAACAAACTTGTTAAATTAATAAAATAAAAATAAAAATTGAAAATAAATAAAATTCCAATTTTAATATATAAAATTCAAAATAACAAATAAATAACAATAATTTTATTTTTATTTATTCGTATTTATATTTATATATTCAAATTTTTTTCTATCTTATGATATAAATTCCATATATATATATAAATAAATACATTTAGTATGTATATTTTTATTACGTATTTTAGGTATATTAGTATATTTTAATATTTAATAAATTTTTATTAGAGAATTATGGAAGGAGAAAAAAGAATAAAACAGAGAGGGAAAATAATAAAAAAAATAAGCAAAAAAAGTGAAATAAGTAAGAGTGTCGTGAGAGATTTTATCATCTCCGTTTGAGCAAACTTTAAGTTCAATTACACTGATATGATGTTCATAGCAAATAATGGATATGACAAGATGTGAAAATATCCGGCTTTATTTTCTGCGATTTACCAAACAATAGTTGAGATATACCAAATCCCTAAGATTTCATATCTTATCCTATCCAGTCCTATCCTGATTAAAAGTCAAGACGACCAAACATAGCCTTAAGGTATTATATTCAATTTTTCTCTTGGAATTTCACCTTGAATGTGTTGTTAAAGTTGTGTGTACGAAAAGAGAAGAAGAGAGAGTTCCGAAGAAGTTATAGTTATGAACAATTGTGGGTATGATAAATAATGTGCGATTCGGTCTCTATTCACAGACAATCAAGCAACACACCTCTTGGGAAACCCAATTAATTCAATGAGGCTTAATCCAATTAATTCAATGAGGCTCGAAACCCTTCTTGCCAGAGTCTATTGTTGGAAAAATATGTTCCTTCAAATTGTAGAAGAAAAGAAACGGGATGAACAATATCAATTAGATTTTAACAACTAATGTTCCAACTTGGCATCCATATTATGAATTTCGACCACTTAAAGATAGATGGGCTTGGCCAAATTTTCACTTTACTAGCTTAATCCAATTAATTCAATGAGGCTCAAACCCTTATTGCGAGTCTATTGTTGGAAAAAATATGTTCCTTCAAATTGTAGAAGAGAAACGGGATGAAAACGAATGGTAGGTGTGATATCTTGTTAAGGAATTATTTGCACGAAATTACTAATGGTCACAAGCAAATTTCCTCTAGGATACAACAAAGTTTCGATTGAGAATACCGAATAGCAATTTCAGTATATCTCCACGGTCTCTCTAGGAGAACAATTAGAAAGAATGGCCGCAGTTTTTCGGAATGAAAAAATGTCTAAAAATTCCGAATGTAGAGACTTAATATTCAATCATATAAAAACTGACTCACTAATCACACCCTTTCAAATAAAGGCATCCCTTCATCAAAAAGACTTATAGTGAATTGGTACGAAATCAATACTCACTTTGAAAAAAGATATATGAAAATTAGGAATAAAATAATAATAAAATATAAGAATAATTTATTATTATTTAATCATTTTTATTAATCCAAATTTTATAAATTCTGAAAAATAATCTTTGAACAAATACAACCTTTCAACATTGAAGGAGTTAAGTAGTTATGTCTGAAGGGACATAATTCTTCCAAAGGTTGTTATCGCGACCTAAATTCCTCAAGCTAATGGATTATTAAGACTAAGCCTAACTCGGGCCCTCCCAAGCCCGAAAATATTTTAAGAGATGAAAAGTGAATGATTTAGAAAATATTTTCTTAAAAATGATTACTTGTATTGTTTATAAAAACGAATCAACCCAAAATATTTCATATCGTCTTAAAAATAGTTCAAATATAAATTATTATCAATAAAAAAAATATTTTTTAAATCAATACAAACGAGCCAATAACAGGGACAATGATGACATGGCACAAATCGTGGGCCCCACTAGTCCTAGTCAGCGCCATCATCCATCCACTGCACATGCCTGACTGAACGAATTTGTTCTTCTTCAGCGACACCGAGCAGAGAAGGAAGGGGAAGGGAGCTCTCGGCGAGCGAGAGGCAAAGAGCCGAAGATCCGTCGCCTCAGAGAAGCCGCGTCGCTCGTTCGCGACCTCGCGGCGCGCGCTTCCCCGGCGGCCGTTGCGGCCGGAGCTTCTGCCGTTCTCCGCCGGAAGCCGCGCCGGCCGATGATCTCGAAAGCAGCCAAGTCGGTGTCGATTCTCCTGGGTTTTGATCCTTTTCTCGCTGCTCTTTCGATGTTCCGATGACGATTCTGCGAAGTCGAGGTTGGGGCTCTGGGTTGAAAACGAGGTTCCTTCTCCTTGGGACAGGTGTTGGTCGAGGGAAGAGGCTGCTCGAGGACGGCGATTCTCCATCGGCCTTCGGCCCTCAATGCGCTCAGCACGGCAATGGTGCGCTCGCTGTTCAAAATCTCCTCTTGCTGTGTACATACTGTGTCGCCCGGTCGATGCGTCAATCTCCTCTTGCGGTTTCCGGCCTTCTTGGATTGATCCCCGTTGCCGTTTCCCCCGATTTCCCCCGTTTTTAGGGGAGGCGCTTGATGTGTGTAGCAACGTGTGTGCGCCTTTTTTTTTTTTTGGGGTTTTCAGGGCGCTAGGTTGCAGAAACTGTACAAAAACTGGGAAGATGATCCGGACATAGGTTTCGTGATGATGAAGGTAGTGGCCTCTTTCTATGCCGATGGATAACGAATGCTTATTGATGCTGTGGTGTTGTTCATCAAAAGAAATAATATTGTTTGGATGTCGAACTTATGAAGGGCAGTGGCAGGGCTTTTTGTGCCGGGGGCGATATTGTTAGCCTCTACCAATTGATAAATAGAGGTAATGTCAGTTTACTACTATGCCCGCTTTATTTTAAATCTGCTTCAAAGTTCTTTTGGTATGATTATTTCTTCCCTAAAGAAAACATCTGTCTGTTGTTGATCAAAGGACAAGACGAAATATGCTTACATTTGCCTAAAATGAAGCTGATGGAAAGGTTTATATCAAAATCAGTATTTGAGGGATTCTTGAGCAAAAAAGTGAATGCTTTAGGGACTAAAATGTTTTTGTGTTTCGGTTACATCATATGTAGGTTACGCTTTGAAAAGTCAATATATATCTTATCTTACCCAAAAAAAAAAAAAAAACTATCTAAACAACAAAAAGACTATTTAGGGTTTTCCAAGAAAAGTGAAAGTTTTGGATGTCATCCGCATCTGCTAATGTATTTGACAAACTTAAAAATGGTGCCACCCGATCGGTTGGTTCTTAGGCCAAGAACACATGTGCTTGAATAAAATTGTCTTGCTGGAATTTTATGAAGAGAAGGTAGATGTGGCATTGATTAGCTTAAGTGCTGGGTGCACCTGGCAATTGCCTTTGACAACATTGGCTGCAAGTTTTTGTGATTCACCCTTAAACAAATTTTAGAATCTCACATGAGGGGAACTGTATATGTACAATGGGAAGTTTTTGTGATGTCTACATTCTGCGGTTTACTCTCTTGTAATCAGTATATTTTTGGTACTTTGAGGTGATTGCTGTAACCAATTTTCCTATTATATATGGTTTTTTCTCTTGTTTATCTTCTATAACCATTCTACCTATTAAAAAAATAGTCTTTCATTATGATGCTACTTCCTGGTAATTTCTTCGACTACTTTTAACTTGATGCAGGAAAAATAGAGGACTGCAAGGACTTCTTTAGGACGTTATATAGTTTTATATATTTTTTAGGTACATTTTTGAAGCCACATGTAAGTACTGGACGTCTTTGAAATCTGTCATGATTATCATTATAATTTTTGGGTTGTGTCTTGATCTACTACTTATCCTCAGGTTATTTAAATAGATCTTCCATGTGAGATGCTTGAATACAGTTTCTTGCTTGGGTACTTCATAAGCAAGGGTTTCGACTAACCATTGACTCTTTCGATATGGCTTATAGGAAATTTTGATTCCTTGGGCTTGGACATGTCATGCAGTATAACAGAGTTGCAGGTGTTACATGTTTGAGGGGGATCAGCTTAATTTAGTCATCCTTTGCTAGCTAATTTCGTGATGCTTTAAGAAAGTCGGAACATTAGACACGAAATTTTAACGATTACTGCCTGCTTCAGGGGTGTATTATCCAATTGAATAAGGAATAGAATCATAAAGCATAACATGTGAGATGCGAATTTAGCAGAAGAAGCGAGAGAAGTAAAGCAAGAATTGGAAATCAAAACTAAAAAGTTAGATACCTGTGAAAAAAGAACCTTAAAAGTTAGATGATTTTTGCAATTGTGGTTGATGGAATTGAAGGAGTCTCTCACGGGATATCAACTAGACGAATGTGATGGAGAATTTTGCAAAGGAAGATTCTGTTACGAGCCTGCTTATTTCTTACAGGACAAAGCATTGGTCAGTAAGATACCAACGTTTGTATAATATGACTGAACTTGAGAGGATGCTTTGTGAGAGCATTCAAGGGAAAATAACCTTTGTAGAAATGCTTGGGGGGAAAATATTAAGTATGAGATAATTTGGACGTAAAACTTAGTAGCTTATGTGCAGAAGGGGAGGGAAAGGTTTGAAATAAGATGGTTGTGAATATGTGTTAAACTTTAAGTATGCAATAGTGGAGGCCTTGCGGTAGTATCAATGCAAGGAAAAAAGCTACAGTACTTTTGTTATGCTCTAGGCATCATTTATTGAACAAGGGAAGAAAGGATTTCAGCGATGTAATATGCAAAGTTACCAATCATGTGATATGACTATGGTGTGGTTGGATTCAAATATCTTTGCTTGCTCTTCTGTTTGTCCTCCAATTCATGTTCCCCTTTCTACAAGTGTTTCAGGTCCACCGCTTGACTGATATTTATCACAGAGACTTCTGAGAGAATGCATTCTGTATTAGGATTATCTATTAAGCTACTCCTGCGAGCAGCACCAAGAGGATTACCCACTCATTAGATATAATAATTTGAAGTTGAGAAAGTTTTTGCTCAGCAAATGCCATTGGACAGCATTCCATCTGATATTCATGTGATCAAAGCTTATGAATCATACATAAGTCTTCTTATGCGATCTTCCAAATCATATTGGTGCTTCACTAATCTAAGATATGATGGCCAAGATTGTATTAAGAGTTATATAAATTTAAAAAGAAAAAAGATCATAGTTAGGGGTGTGCCTATAGCTAACCGAACTATATAGTGTATGGTGAAGTACAGGTCATGCTTATGTCAAGGCCTGTTAATTCTAGGATTAACATTTCATTCATTTTGTTTTCTCTTTTTAAAAATGTGCTTAAATACTGTATTAGATTATTTGAAGCATTGCCAGTCTGAAAGAAGTTTTTTATGTTAACAGAAGACTCATTATTGACTTTCTTCTTGAGAGTTTTGTGATCTGTATCAGTTCCACTCGATAGATGTAGACGAAAAGCTTCAGGCATATGTTATTGGGTCATGCATAGTTTCTTGTCATATCCAGCTTTTGCTGTGCTCATAGTTTTGGTGATTATTATTGCGCAACCAGACTGAAGTGGATTAATGCATCAGCTCATCTTGAAGTTGGAGCTACTCTTGTTTAAAATGTATAAAAAATAGGAGTTGGATTGTGTGCCTAATTTTTCTCCATGAGGATGACCTTGTTACATTCTATACATAAGTTTGATGATCTATTCAGTTAGTTGTTATTATTTCACCATTGGCTAACTTCTCAATGAATTCTTGGGTTTGTAGTTCCTCTTTCCATTGCCATTATTAATTTGCCTTTGGTGTTCCAAAAGTAGAATGGATATGCTAGATCCAGAATTTGCTTGCATAGTTTAAGTTTAGTTGTAGTTCAATTGTGAGAAGTTTTTGTGCTCAAATTAATGCCTTAATCTCCATTTAGGTGGCTCTATTAAATGGCATCACAATGGGAGGTGGTGCTGGAGTTCAATTCCGGGGACATTTCCAGTTGCGACTGATAAAACCGTATGTCTTTGGGAGCTCTGAGCTGTTTATTTGTACTTCATATCATATAGTTTTTACATTGTTCTGACTTATGCCAGATATCATAGTCATGTTCACAATATATGCTTGCTTTCTCTCTTGAATGTCCACGTCCTTGACATTTCTTTTTTGAATTGTTCATTAAGTAATCGACGTTCCAAATATTATCCTGACGAGTTGTAGGAGTGGTGTACTTGTGAAAAGGATTAATTGGAGCTTTATGTCGTCCTTGCAATTCTATATTAAAATATAATAAATCAAGAAACTAGCTTTCTTGATGTCTTGTGTCTGATTGAGCTGGAATACGTACATGAGCATGACCGTTTTAGGAAATCTTGATGCTTTGGTCACTTCATTTTAATTTTCTCAACTTCACCAGGAGAGGAAGTTTGCTTAGTGTAGTGTTGGCAGGTTCAACTTTTTGCGTTGCTGACATGAGATGTTATAATTATCAAATACACTTCATTTCACTTTCTGAGGCTGGTAGATACACATAGCGTCTGATTTTGCAATGATCACCAGGTCGACATCGCCTCTGGTACAAGTATTAGCAAAAATATGTTTGTGGTTTGTAGGTGTAGCGTGTATCAGAGTGTTAGTGGAAATTTGAGGCTTGACACATGCCTAAAGCTTCAAGTTACACTTTTCGAAATTCAGATTGAGCCAGTGTTAGCTGGTTTTAATGGATTGAATTTAGTCAATGCTAGAGTTTTACAGCCTTTAACCATCTGAAGAGGTAGACCTGGAGTATACTGGGAGCAAGTTCCAGTCCAAATGGTTGAACCAGCTTGCCTGGTTTGGTTTATAGAACATTGGTCGGGAGAAATTACTTGTAATTGATTCTTCAGGATGAAGCCTTGTGCAAGGAACACAAAATTGGTCGGTTTTGCATGGAATTAGTATGCAATGGGTGATTGGCATAGTGCAACGGGAAATGGGTGCTGTACTGCAAAGTCCTTGAAGTCTGCACGAGCTTCCATACCAGAACGTCTGTCTTTTGGATCTTCTGCACATTTATGACATTTAGGGATCCGTTAGATCTATTTATATTCCGTGCATGACTTAATAACCCAATTTTTGAGTAACTACTTTCATTTAGCTACCAAAGGTACGATGCTATAGGATATCGATGGCGACACTGTCATCTTACATAGTATTTGACTGAAGCTCTAGCCAGTGATGTTTGAGGAAGCTTTCTAAAGAGTTAGGTGGCAACAAACAAAGATAAACTGTAGGTCTAAATTGTCCATGCAGTTCAAAAATAGTTGATTAGTTGCTTTTCTCTAGGATTGATGTTTTTCTTGTCCATATTCAATCGCCAAGGAAGATCATGTGCCATAAGTGTTAAAATGAACTGAATACATGCACTTTTGATCAAAATCTATTTTTTTTTGCTCTTAATTCCTCTAATTCTTGCCGAGTACGGCGAGTAGAACGAATATTCTGTATTTAGCATACAAAACTATCACGAGTGCTCTATCTACTTGCGTGGTATATTTGTGGTTCATGTGTTCTTGGATTTTGAATTAGCTTATATTGCAGGTCTTTGCCACACCGGAGACTCTTATTGGGTTCCACCCAGATGCTGGAGCCTCCTTTTACCTCTCACATTTACCTGGTCATTTAGGTATATTGCAATAGCTTCCATTCTTCTTCGAAATTGAACCCTTATATGCAGACAATATTTGACATCGTGTAGCACTATTTATGTCCTTCAAGGAATGCCAGTGTTTTTGTTTACCGAGTGTTTTGTGGAAGCATCTATTCTTTGGTCAGTTAATAATTTGATGGTGCCTACCACTGTTTACCTTCTATTCTCAAATGAAATGAACTTTTTGCCTTCTATTCTAAAATGAAATGCACTTGTTTTTTGTAGGAGAGTATTTGGGTCTAACCGGAGAGAAGCTCACAGGGGCTGAAATGATGGCTTGTGGCCTTGCTACACACTATACCCTTGATGCAGTTAATCACCTTTTTTCTTCGTTACTCATCGGTGGCTCCTCACTTTAGCACCTATTGCAGAATTAAGCTCTGTTCTCCTTGTCATGCTGCAGAGACTTCCCTTAATAGAAGAACAACTGGGGAAATTAGTTACAGATGATCCATCAGTGATTGAGAGTATGCTGGAAAAATATGGAGACCTTGTCTGTCCAGATAAGATGAGTGTAATTCACAAGTTGGTGCTCTTTCCACCGAAGATAATATGATATGTCTAGTTAAAAACACTTGGGACTTGTGTTATACTTCTGTTTTCTCATTCATTTTTTAATCTTTTGATCCTTTGAATTTTACATACTGATTTTAATATTATGCTTAATTGTCTCTTGTTTAATGTTGAAGGATGGAGTTGGTGGATAAATGTTTTGGTCAAGACACGGTTGAAGAGATTATTGATGCCTTGGTAAGACACTATGCCTGGTGGGTGATTTATGATTATGAGCTTACTGCAAAATAGTTATCTGCATGCTGCATTAGCATAATCCATTTGTTAACATTACCTTCGTGTGCATAGGCAGTCCTGGGATTTTTTGTGCATACTCTACTGGATGAGTGTTCTAAGACACTGGTTTAGACCTTTTGCTGGATAAGTGGGTTCTGACGAAATCTTTTACATTATGCATTGAGCCAGCTTCAATTTTTTTAAGTTTAACTGCTTTGGCCAAGTAATTGTACGATTACTTTGCTCTTCTTGGTGTGCTTAATGTAGGAGACTCTAAATTGCTATGGTGCCACATTGTCATTCAGGAAAGCAAAACAGCTGGACTGAAGGATTCTTGGTGCAATTCTGCCCTTAAGAGACTTAAAGAAGCTTCTCCATTGAGCTTGAAGGTTTCTTTGAGATCTGTGAGTCCTCATAAGCATCTTAGTTGTCTTTTTGCTGTTTGCAAGCATTTCTTCATTTGATCCCTAAAGTAGTCTAGTGCTTTAGGTACGAGAAGGGAGGTTCCAAACCTGTGACCAATGCTTGGCTCGTGAATATCGCATGTCCCTACAAGGAATATCAAAGCAAATTTCTGGCGACTTTTGTGAGGTGAGGTGAAGATTGTCTTTCTATATGTCGGAATACATGATCTTTAAGGAGTTATTTTTGTGATGGTTTCTTTTCAGGGGGTTCGGGCACGGATGGTGGACAAGGACTTAGCACCGAAGGTATTCTTTTCCATCCTGCATTTTTAAATGTTTCACCTGTGGAGCTAAGTGGGTTGATTAGATTCAGTTTAACTCAACAATTGAACATCTTGATGCGAGGACATGTATGGAACTTTGATGTCATCTGGTATTTGTGGGTTAAACATCTTTTGCCAAGCTATCTCATTTATGTGCAATACCTTCTGGATTGTGAAATTGCAGTGGGATCCTCCGAGTTTGGATAAAGTTTTGGAAGACATGGTGGATCAATACTTTTCACCTCTCAGTGAACTTGAACCTGACCTCGACCTCCCAACAAAAGTGCGAGAAGCCTTCACCTAAATCTGTTTACTTCCATCTTATTCATCTCCGATGAGTTACATCTGTGAAGTGGCAAACTGGGATTCTAGACGAGACTACCTATAGTGGCAGCTGAAATTAGTCAGAAACCGTCATTCTCAATTGGAATATGGAGGTTTCCCCAAATTGTCAAGGTCCATTCTTTCACTTCAGTTTTAGATGGGACAGGATCAACTACAGCTTTTGTGCTAGTTGAGGTTTTATCTAGTTTGGCTAGTGTGATGAAATTGTTATGTTTTTACTGATGGTCAAGTCATATATGAATCATCTTTGGATCCATTGACATGCGCTTGCCTATTGTCTGCCTGGTGGTAGTGGCCGGTATTGACTAATGAAACTGTGGCATGACGGACTTGGACCGAGGAGAGAAATTACCTTTTGCCATTTTCAATTTTTCTGGTGAGGAACATCAATCTGTGTTTCCATAACTTGCAATTTTACTAGTGTGGATTTAGCATGGCAACAACCAACTGGTAGTCTAGAGCAGAAAGGCAAGCACATGGATTCCCAAAGCCAAGAATACGTTCACCCAGTATTGATGATATGGATTACAGTGTATGTACAGGTCAACTGTCGACGTCCCAGAAACCGTGAAATCCCAGAGGGAAGTTCAATTCTTTAGGCACTTCGAGTCGTGCTACTAGAGCGTCGGCTTCTCCAATCCTCTTTGGATTCAAAATGACTAGATAACATCTCTGAATCGAGACTGCATACTGCAAGACACAAGTGGGACACAGGTTACACGACTCTCGCCAGCAGTGGCAACAGTTGTAATACACTAAATATGCCGTAGTTGTGTTAGTCATGTACCTCAACCACAAGGATGTGCCCGTCATCTTCTTCTCCGGTTCCTTTGGGGACGAAAATCGGCTCGCCGATGAATCTGCGGTTACCGGTTGACCATGTGCTGCTAGACTTATCAGACATGTTGAGCTTTGCGACAGAGTCGAACGGGAAATGTGGCAGTGCTGGGCGGGTACCGGAAGTTGTTCCACCGTATATGTACTTGTTTTTTCTCCCTGAAAAATCCGGATTTATCACTGGAAAATCCGTAGGCCGCGTCCAGTTGTTGAGAGACTCCACGGAACACTTTTGGCAATCCCCTTCAGCGTTGACATCAATGGACACCTGCATTATAAAAGCCCTAAAATTAGTGAGTATGTACAGAGAGAGTCGCAAATTCTAGCTTTTACCTTTATAGGAAGATTGATATAGATGCCACAGCAAGTACACGCAAGTGCATCTTTTCTTTAAGTGCGCGCAATCGCACTGCATCGACCTATGTATGTAGGGGCTAATTTGAGATATACCTGAACCAGATGAGGCAACAAGGCCTTCCCATCTTGTTTGACATTCATGATGGAAGGATCCAATCTACTACTCTGCCAATTATATCCTGTTAAAGGCCAAAAATAAAAATCAAATCCTGCCCCAATATATTACGACGAATTGTAACGTGTACCCGGAACAAAATTCACCTTCAAGTCTAGCAAAAGATCTATTACTAATTAGTGATAATCTTCCAGGGTGGATCGGTTCACGGATCCTGTGATCCCCAATTTCAAAATATTAGAATTGGGAACCAAACCAATCAATTCTGGAACTGCCGGTTCCTGAATTGGCCAGTTCTGTGAGTTTCTTTTTTTGGCTAAAAGAGGCTTCAAAACTTGTTGTGGGGTAGAATTGGCAATTCCCCCCTAGAACCAGTAATAGGCCAGTTCTAGGTTCACGAAACCTGGAACCAAAATGTTTCTCCCTAGAAATGGCTTGGAACAACTGGTTCAATCCGGTTTCCGGGTCAAGCCGGACCCGGCGCTCACCCCTCAGATAAATCGACGATAAGTGATTATGCTAGAATTGAAATAAAACATACTGACTAGGGTTCAGCTAGTTTGGTCAAGCAATTGCACCAACGTACATCATGACCACTTAATTGATTTAGATCTATACCCACCAAAGAGCTTGTGGAAATTGAACCATTCGTAGGAACAAACACAGGCTTGGAAGCGAATCTCCCTCGTCCCTTCCTCATCGTCCACGGCCTCGAAGGCATTGCCGAAATGCATAAGCCAAAGCTGTGCAGGCACTTCTATGGCGGATCTCCAATCTCTTCCCTTTTGGCTCTCGTCTTGTGATCTTGGAAGAAGATAGATCGGGGATGTCGATTTGCCGGGGTCCACTGATAATGCCGATATCATCGGTGATATTCCACACACTGCACTTATTGACCCTGCACAAACTTTTTGAACTCAGGACTCTTGCTTTGATACTATGCAAATTTCTATGACTTTACCGTCGATTGCTCTAAAAGTTTAAACTGTTAGATGGATGCATGATTCGATATTCAAATGTATTTCAACATTACCCGAAATGTCAAGCTTGATGCGATTCCCAAATAATATGTAGTGAGTATCGGTGAAAGCCCAGTCGTGAATCATTAGATGATCGGGGATGTTGAATTCCTTTTTCTGCAACAGCTTGAAATCGGAGTCGAATTCTGGGGTTGCGAAAAGAGCATATGTTATGCGCAGCAAAAAAGAGTAGGCTTCTGTTTAGCCTTCGGGTCGGCGAAGATAAACCTGTTTCTGTGTTTTTTCATGCAGCAGGATATCCAAAACATTCGACTCGACTAATACCCATGAAGGCAGAAAGAATGAAATGAAAAAATAAATTACCATAAAAGGTGAAGTTACTACGGGGCAGCAGCATGTCCTCTGCATTGCACGACAGAGTGAGAAGCCTATCGTTCCTTGCGTCGACCTTGTAATGCGACAACATTCTCTTCGCCGGCATTTTGAACACTCCTGCATTTCATATCCACTTAAACTTCCTCTTCAGTTTCCTTAAAATTTCAAAGACTTTAATGTTCAAGAAAGAACATGAAAAATTAACTCACCCAGAGACATGTAATAATCCACGAATATGTTTTACGTACCATATAAGATGGGCTTCAAAATGCTAGCGGCGACATCCCATACGTCACCAACACCGTGGCCCTCGCTGTGCTGAGGCTCGCCATGGCCGTCGATCATCTCGAGCTTCCCCACCGTGTTCAGCGACCTGGGTTCGATCTCGTACGGGTCGCCGCCTTCCCAAAGGCACAGCAACTTCCCTCCCCACTTCACCACGCTGGTGTTGGCGACGTTCTTCATCACCTTGGTGTTGCCGACCTTCCTCCCTCCCTTCAACACCGAGAACGGTCCCCGGTGCGTGAACCGCCACGTGTTGCTCGCCGGGTCGTGCTCCTCGACTTGGGCCTCGGTTTTCACGTACCGGGCCATGAACTTGACCTCCTTGTTTTCGGGCGCCCCGCCGAACACGAAGCCCCTCAGGTAGCCATGCCCGTCTAGCGGGTGCACCGTGGACCCGTGGTCGTCGGCAAAGAGCCCCGGGCCAATCAGGTAATACGTCCCCGAGGGGAAATCGGATGGCACCGCCCCGTCCACCAGCCGGAGCAAAACAGGCTCAGCGGTCTCGGATTGCGGCGACACGAAGAGAGACTGGTAGTCCCAGAACGCAGCCACCCGATCTTCTTCCACCTCCGCCGCGGAGACGCCCGAAGAGCGGCTCTCCGATGTCGAGATCGAGATCGCTCGGGGGGCCTGACCGGTCGCGGCGAGGGCTCGGCCTGCCGGGATTCGATCATGCCATGTTGATATCGGGAGTAATTTGGTTGGACTTATGTGACATATTGTATTGGCTTGCATACTGCTTCCAAAGTGACAAGCTTCGAAACTATTTTGGTGCTTGTGGGATACAAAACAATGGCGAGGAAGACGATGTCGAATCGATCGGGCTTAAATAAATATATGTAAAAAGACCAGAGAAATCAAATATTTGGCCAAGTGCTTTGGTTGAAATTACGGATGCGCCATCGCATGTTTCATCTATTCTAAAGGCAATACGATATCTTTTGTATTTTCATAAGATGAATGTTTCCTGATCTAATTAATGACATGCAATATACAAGGCCACATAACGAAATATTTATCATATCCAAAATAGGTAATCGGGAATCCTATCTTAGGTTGCTGTGCTTTGCTGGAGAAACACTAGGGAACTGCTAGTTGCTGACAGGAAGTTCGCAGGTGGCGTCGGCCCAGGTTGAGGCTGGTGGGAGGTTTGCCGAGATGCCGAAACTTGCTGAATGGCGTCGCAAACAGCTGCAGGGCTGGCGGCTGAAGGCTGTGACGAGAGGGATGGCTTGCTGGGACTTCGTCAATGTCGTTGGGAATGGCTGTGGCGTCATGGAGGCAGCAGACTGCAGCAGCGAAATCTGGTAGGCGACGCAACATTGCACCTAGAGTGAAGCGCGAGGCGGCAGGGCTCTGGCATATGAAGCAACTAGGCGCGGTGGCGGTTGTTTGGGAAATTTGATTGCTAATGAAGATAGAGAAACAGTAATAGATCCTTGATGCTTTGACGTGTGATGAGAATTACCGTCCTTAAGGTATTATTTGCCCCAACTATTGTTGCTGTCAGGTTTAGAAGAAATATACTTCTAGGATATATACCAAAGCCGCAAAGAAGCAAGTTCAACAATTACTCAATTTCTCTCTTGAAATTTCACTTTGAATGTGTTATTAAAGTTGTGTGTATGAAAAGAGAAGAAGAGAGAGTTCCGAAAAATTTGTAGTTATGAACAGTTGTGGTTATGATAAATAATGTGCGATTCGGTCTTTATTCATTAATCAATCAGCACACCTCCTGGGACTATGTATCTTATCCCCAACCATCACCACTTTTCATGTTAACAATAACTTTTTTTCATAACCACCGATAATTTTTTTTTAGGACGAAAAGTCACATCTTTCATAATCAAGAGTCACATTTTTTATGATAACAAACTATTTCAACAGCGGTAGGCGCATGGCGACAGGATGTGTACGGTGGATAATGGCAGCAGTGGAGAGGTACGTCGTGAGTGGCTTGGCTCTTGGCCTTCAACGCTTCTCGCGTGCGAGTGTTTAGTATTCCCTCTCTATAATGTCTGACCTCACCAATCTTAAGAGAACCAAATCTTCATGTAGGCTAAGGGTTTGGGCTTTCTTAAAAACAATATTTTCCTATTTTGAATCATAAGATATATGCAATATTTAAGAAAACGAAACCTTTCCTTCAATATAATTTGATTTTAAAAACCAATGTTCCAACTTGGCATCCATATTATGAATTTCGACCACTTAAAGATAAATGGGCTTGGCCAAATTTTCACTTTACGAGCTTAATCCAATTAATTCAATGAGGCTCGAAACCCTCCTTGCCAGAGTCTATTAGCTCCAATCCAATGCGGTTTATGTTGGCTTAATGCTAATAAACGAAAAATGCTCCTAATATTTAAATGTAAATTAATAATATTTTTTGTTAGGGGGTTGGGTTGACTCCTAATTTTTTATGCGATGAATGCCTACATTGGTCGTCAAAATTTAGGTGTCAACAACTTCAAATTCATGTGGCAACGTGAAGATGGAGTGCAACCCTTAGATCTATAAAAGCAGAAATTCCTAGGGTTATGATTTGGTTGAGAAGTTCTATTCTTGTATTTATGATATCTCTGTCTCTAATTCGAAAGTAGTCCTCAAATGACTATTCATGTGATTGTTTTTTTCATTTTCCTTTCTCTTACGGCTAGTTGTCCCATCCAAATATAATCTCATGTTACGCGAAACGTATCATGACTAGCGCTTGAAAAAGAAGAGTTATTTAACATCGTCTACAAAAAAAAAAAAAAAAGAAGAAAGTCTTAGGTGATTAACATGAAAAGACTATTGCAAATTGATTAACTTTTAATTTGTTGATTTTTGTACCTAAAAATCTAAATTTTACTCAAATGTGGCCACATGTTTATAAGCCATTAAAGTTTGAAATTTTTGATTTTTTTCACTAAAACTTTAAATTTCACAAATCCATATTCTGCCATTTTGAATTTTTTTTTTTTTTTTTGACTCATAAAATTTAAATTTACAAAGTACATTTCTAAAATTTTTATTTTTTATTTTTGGACTCAAAATTTAAATTCTAAATAAAATTTTTTTTGTACTCAAAATTAAATTCACAAAGAATTGTTATAGTTAAATTTTATTTTTTTTTTAAAAATTCACCAAATTTATTTTATCATTTTTTATTTTAAAATTTTATGAATTTTCAATTTTCATTTTCGAAAAAATTGTAAAATAAATCCTACAAAAGTAGTTCTTTCTAAAACAAAGGAAACAAAGAGGAAGAGTCTTACAATCACAAGCCAAGGAGAAAAAAAAAAAGCTTGGGGGAGGGAGGGGGATTCATCTACTATGGCTCCAAACGCGCTCCAATAGAATTAAGATATGGTCCCGCCGTTCCGAAAAAGCCAACGATCCTGCCACCACCTGATTCCGAGGGGATACGAAATTCTGTTATGTTTTCACGAGCATCCCATGGCCATTCTTCCGTTCCGAACGGTCCGTAAACTTTCTTCGTGGTGTGTATTTTCAGGCCGCGGATGATAGGGTCACTATTTTTTTTATACGGCTTCATACAACCGGATATCGAGAGTAGACGCTCCTTGGGATAATCCAGAGTGGCTTGCTAGAATAGCAAAGGGAAACATGTCTTACTTGCGAAAACAGAAATAGGTTCGAACCTTAAAACTCTAGATATAGGATGCCAAAAGAAGTGCCTCAGTCTTCGATGAAAAGGAAATGTACTACATGAAACTAAGAACATTATGGAAAGCAACGTGCATACCTGAGCGAGTTACAGACAGAAAAAAGACGAAAGAACAGAGAGAGAGAGAGAGGGATTGAGATATGGACTAACCTTGTGGTATCGATATCTGCCTTTTTTGCCATGTTCAGAGCCTTCCACTATGGAACCATTGTTATCGTACACAATCCTGATGGAGTGAATTATGTCGCTGGCCAATATATGAACTGCCCTCACATTAGCATGCACTCCATCATCCCACAAAGACCCACCAGAGTTTCCAAAGGGTCTAACGGTTTTGAAAGGACCCAAATGCGGTATGGGTTGCGCATACACTCCTATGGAATTCAGAGTCTCGCCGCATCTTCCAAAAAAGCCAATGATTTTGCTTCCGGTGGATGGATACCAAAAGTACCTCCCGGTCTCCTCGCCAAAGGGACCGTATGTATTTCTGTTGCTGTGAAATGTAAGCGACTGAATGATAGCATTATTGATGCCATCACTGTTGTCTCGCTGGTAACCGGAGATCGACGTCAAATACTCCTCTGGATATTTCAATGGAACCTGCGCAATCTCAAAAGTATCTCTTAGAATTGGACAAGTGGTGTAAACAAGACCTATTTGTTGAGTTTAACTTACCAAATCACTTGACCAGACATTTTAACATTGTCTCGACCGATGAGATATTAGTAAGTAAACAGCAATGGATCGGAGAGGGAAAAAAACACTAACCTTGTCGACCTTGGTGACCTTCGCCTCGTCTTCTCTGGTGCGGCCATCGTGCGGAACTAGGTGACCTTGTTGACTACCGTTGTCGTACACTAACTTAATGCAAAGGATAGCATCGTTATGCATTACCTCAATATTCCTCACACCGTCGAATTGCCCATCGTTCCAGTCCCCATCACATTCACCTTGGCCGAGGTGGCCTCCAAATGGCCCGATTGATTTGATTGGGTAGAGATTCGAGATCGGTTCAAAATATGCTCCAATTGCATTAAGATGTTCACCGCTCCACCCGTAAAATCCAACAATTTTGCCACCCGTTGCCGGGGATGAGAAGTGCTTTCCCTCTTCATGACCAATAAGTTCTAACTTTCTTTTGTTAGTTTGAAAAGTGAGAGATGCAAGTCCGAATGTTTTGTTGTTAGGCTGAAACATATACCCGGATATTGAAGTCAAATACTCCATTTCAATCTGCAATAATAGACATAAGCATCAAACTCATGATTTAAGTCACGAAAGAGTCTCCCACCATCATCGCAGGCAATGTAAGTTTCGTAAGGATTTTGAAAAGCATATGTATGCATGAGGACATACCATTTCAATCTCCTTCATTTCGATCTCCTTCCCTTCTGTTGGCAACTCGTTTCCATCAATGCCACGGTGTATCTCCTCTTCATACTGAAACTTGATTGATCGGATGAATCCCTCCCCACTTGAATCGAGTTTAACATTGATTTTCCTTACATTGGTATGCTGATTGCCATCATCGCACTTCGACCCGCTTTCCCACCCAAATAAGCCCACGGACTCGAAAGGGTACAGCTTGTTAGAGCATAGCTTGACACGTGCTCCAATAGATTCGAGAAAATTATCACTTCTCCCGAAAAATCCGATAACTTTCCCAGCTTCTGGTGGTAAGGAAAAGTAGTGCCCTTCCTCTCTACCAATGGGTCCCAATATTCTTTTGTTGGTTCGAAATGTGAGCGAGTTGATTAGCTTACGATTGCCACATACATTGAAATATATATGGACAGGTCAAGTGACCATTTATTATTAAGTAATACTTTCAATCTGTATTTTTAGGCCATGGCGTTGAAGAGTAGAGCACACAATGTATCTGTCAATATGTCAACGTAGATTAGGCTTACTATTTTACTTCTTTCCAACACTATTATCGAAACTAGAGAAAAGGAATGAAGAAATTGAATAATTTCATGTAGGTTTTTGCTATAATTACTAGACTTTGCAGCTTCTTTTCTTCATATTTTCTTTGTAAAAGTATTTCATTTGAAATTGGTTGATCTTTTATCATTAACTCGAGGTTCTCTGTACCAGCAATTGTGAATCATAGCTTCACATTTCATTTTATAATTAACAATTTCCTTTATATAGTTTAATAGCATTATTAATCTATTCTTAAGGAAAACATTTTCGAAAGTAAAATCCATATACCGAAAAATTACTTCCCTCTCATTTTCATGCTCTTCACCAAACAAGAGAAAATCAGTCAGTTTCCTTGAAACTGAATTTCGGGTAAAATCATTTCTTTCAACATTAAATTTTACATGAAACAAACACATCCTAAGTTCTATAAATTTGATTCATTTCCAGCCATCTATGTGATAGATTAAGACTCCGTTTTCGCAAAAAAATTTCTATCGAAAAACATTTTCCTCAATTTTCTGTCTTTGGATCTCTCGGGAAAATAAAGTCAATAGAAAGTCTTTTAATTGTCAAAAAAAATATAATGTTGAATTCAAGAAAATGATTTCCTCTTTTAAAAATTAAAAATTATTTTCTGAAGTATGACTAGACATTAGCTCTTAAACCAGAGACCTCGGCCCTTGAGCAAAGGAACCCCAACGGCTATGCTCGGGTCCTTGACGGTCGAGGTTGGGTCCACAGAGGCCAAGTACGGGACATTGGTGCCCATGCCAGTATCTCAGTGACCATGCCTGGAAACCTAATCATGTGCCCAAGTCACTGGTACCCAAACCTGGGACACTGGTGCTCGTGCCTATGTCCCGAGGGCCATGCTTGGGTACTCAACTTCCACACCTAAGTCATTGACACCCGATACTTGGTCCATCGAGGCTAAGCTCGAGTCTACAAAGGCTAGGCCCAAGACCCCGGTGCTCGTGGCGAGTCCCAGTGATGGTGCCGAAACACTTTTCTCTCGCGCCCAAGACACCGACACCCTAGCTCGGGTCCATCAAAACCAAGCCCAAGTCTCTCGAGGCCAGGTCTGGGACCCTAGTGCCCATACTTGGGTCGTGGCAACCATGCTTGATTAGTCGGCTCTCGCGCCCAAGTGACTGGCACCTAGCCCTACAACCATTGAGGCCAGGCCCTAGGTCCATAAAGGCAGGGCCTAAAACCCACGAGGTAGGGTCCAAGACCCTAGCCCAAGACCCTGGTGCTCGTGCCCAGGTCCTTGATAGTCATGCCCAGTTACTCGGTTCTTGCACCTAAGTGACAGGCGCTTGGGCCGAGTCTCTCAAGGTCGGGCCAATGACCCTGGTGCCTTTGCAAGGATTCATGGTGGTCATACCCTGATACCCAACTCCTTTACCCAAGTCATTAACACCAGGGCTTGGTTAGTCATTAGCTCTAGAGCTTGAGTCCCTTGAGATCGAGCCCATGACCCTGGTGCCCGTGCCAGTTCCTAGTGGCAATGCCCAAGTACTCAACTCCTACACTCGAGTCACTGGCGCTTGAGCTTGGGTTTCCAGTGGTTGGGCTAAAGAATCCTCAGCTGCTGCGATCGAACATTGGAGATTGGGCCCGAGTCCCCCTAGGCTAGGGCTTAGTCCCTGACAATTGAAACGGGGTCCCTGCACTCAAGTCTAGGACCTTGGTGGCTGGGCCCGGGTCCCTCGAGGCCGGGCCCAAGACCTTGGCTCTAATGCCCGGGTCTTTGCCAATCGTGCCTAAGTCCTTGGGACTTTGATTGTCGAGCCTAGGCCCATCGTGGCTGGGTTGAGACCCTGGCACCCAAGCCTAAGTACCCCAAGGCTAGGCCCGGGTTCTCAACACTTGAGGCCGGGTTCCATAAGAGAATAGGAATTAAACGTTTACAGTTTGTAAAACCGATTCAATGAAACTTTATTTAAAATTTGATGATATATTCACAAAAATAAAAGCAAGTTTCTTTTTCATACGACGGAAAATATTTTTAGTTCATTTCAAGATTTCAGTCAAACACCAAAAAATATGAACATTTTCCTAAAGAATAATTTTTTAAAAACATTTTTCAGAAATATTAAATTTTCCTCAAAACAAATAGAGTCTAAGGGTGCCTTTGTTTTGCGGAAAATGGACCATTTCTGGAAAATATTTTCCAAGAAATCATTTTCCAAGAAAATGAGTTCATTTTTCGGCGTTTGGCTAAAACCTAAAAAGACTTGGAAAGTATTTTCAGTTGTTTGGTGAGGAAAATTTGATGGTGAAAATTATCAAAAAATTTTGTATTTTTTAAATTATTTCAAATTATTGTTATTTTTAAATTATTTTTATTAAGAAAAGGAAATGCATGAATGTTTTCTTTCTTCGAAAGAAAAGAAAAAGAAAAGAAAAGAAATGATATTAACAAATTCAAGATGAGTAATTCCAGAAAGTGTTTTCACCTTCTTAGATTAGGGAATTCACTTTCCTAAAATTAAACATGATATTTGTGTTGATCGAAAAGTATTTTCCATTGACCAAATCATTTTCGGAGAACCAAATGAATAAAAGTCTGGAAAACACTTTCCGGAAAAACACTTTTTCCAAAACAAACACACCATAAGTTCTATATTTTTCTTCCATCTGTTTTGCATTAGTTATAGGGAGCTTAATAAATGCAACTAATGAAACTACGTCAAGTTAATTTAAATTAGGATCGTATATTTTCATATGTAGTTGGCTTTTGTAGAAGCATATTGTATTAAAAAGGCGAATTGCTGACGATGTACAACCATCTATTTTGAAGTATTTGTTCACTTCGTCAGTGAACGTGTTTCAAGGGCTTCATCGTTATATATCGTGATTTGGTCCAGAATATTTCTCATTTTTGTGAGATTGTCATCTTTGATTTGTGAAACTTGTGACGAAACACTAATTCTATAGGACTAGTTAAGAATATATGAACCGTTCGTATATTTCTTTTAGGTTCTCTTTTGGGTTACATTCTCGCTTCTCCTAGCTAAAGTCCTTATACGTGACAATGTTTCATACCTATTTCTTATCTTTCTGATTTAAATTATCTTTCGAACTAGAGCATTATCAGTACTAATGTGAAATTAATTTTTTTATTTCTTTTATTTTTTTCCAATTATTTTTCTCCCGTAGTTGTTTACCTTCTCCTGTACTAGTTCTAACATCGAAGCTCAGTTCTAACTTTAGTTCTGATGTTTTTCCATACTCTCGGTTTTTTATTTTTGGTTCTACCCTACTGTTCACTATTGCAGGTCATAATCTGCGTCTAGTTTCTTGTTTATTTGTAATGATTTGATTTAATGTAATGTTTAGATGTATATACGATAATTTTCTTGGTCTGGATGTAGTTCAATACTTTTTATTTCATTAATTATTTTGCAGAACTGGGTAATTTCTTTCATCCCTTTTCCCGTCTTGTCCTACTCATTATGCTTTTGTCACTCCTACGCCGGGGGGATTTAACACTAACACTGTCCAGCTTGCCAACGGTGAATTGTAACAAAAACCATATCATCTTCTAAGCTACTCTTTCGGAGGCGCTGTAGGTTAGGCTTATTATTTCTTGGAACTAAGTTGAACAAAACTAGGCAACGAAAAGAAGTAACTGGATTTAACTGAATTGTACGTTCTCTCTTCACACATAACGTAGAATTTCAAGAATCAGATTTGTTGATTTATTTGCTTCATAGAGAGGCTAAATTATCGTTTGTGATTGTAACAGGTGCGACATCTTTTCTGTTCACGGAGTACCAGTATGTTGGAGTTTTCACAGTTGCTTTCGCAATTCTAATCTTCCTCTTCCATGGCTCTGTTGAGAGCTTCAGCACCCAAAGCCTGCCTTGCACGTATGATCCTTCAAACATGTGCAAACCTGCACTTGCCACTGCCGTTTTCAGTACTGTTTCATTCCTACTTGGTGCTTTCACCTCAGTCCTCTCTGGTTTCCTTGGCATGAAAATTGCTACCTATGCCAATGCAAGGACTACCTTGGAAGGGAGAAAAGGCGTTGGAAAAGCTTTTATTGCTGCTTTCAGGTCTGGTACAGTTTCCGGATTTCTTCTTGTTGCTAATGGTCTTCTTGTGCTCTATATAGTAATCAATCTGTTCAAGTTGTACTATGGCGATAACTGGGAAGGTCTTTTTGAGGCCGTTACCGGTTATGGTCTTGGAGGTTCTTCCATGGCTCTCTTTGGAAGAGTCGGCGGTGGAATTTATAGCAAGGCTGCTGATGTTGGTGCTGTTCTGGTGGTAGAGTTTGGGACAAATATCCCAGAAGATCAAAGAAACCCAGCAGTATGTACTCTCTTACTTTAGCTCTATCTCCTAAGTATACCATTCACATTTTAGTCATAAATGGGCTTGATCTTAATCATTCAGGTGATTGCTGATAAAGTTGGTGATAATGTTGCATATATTGCTGGTATGGGGTCTGATATTTTTGGCTCTTACGTCGAATCATCCTGCGCTGCCCTTGTTGTTGCTTCCATCTCTTCTTTCGGAATCGATCATGACTTCACTGCCATGTGTTATCCCCTGCTTATCAGCTCTATGGGTATCCTTGTTTGCTTGACCACAACTCTCTTTGCGACCGACTTCCTTGAAATCACAAATGTGGAGGAAATCAAGCCTGCATTGAAGAAGCAACGTATTATTTCCACAATTCTAATGACTGTCGGAATTGCTATTGTTAGCTGGATTGCTCTGCCTTCATCATTCACAATTTACAACTTTGGGTCGCAGAAACTTGTGAAGAACTGGTGAACTCTTTGACAATACTCATCTCTTTCTGATCCTAAATGCTGCTTTCATCTAATATTGTTCATGTGACATGCTTTGAATGTCAGCGGACTTTTACAGGATTGGATCAGGACGTTGAGTATATGTAGTTGCTAATTATGGATATGATCTTGCAGGCAGCTGTTCGTGTGTGTTGGTGTAGGTCTTTGGGCTGGACGAATAATTGGGTTTGTCGCTGAATATTACACCAGCAATGCCTACAGGTATTAATTTCTAGAGTAAATGAATGATTAGAATCTTTACGACCGTTGATGATCATGCGCTGACCACGTAAGCCTTTTCTCTGCAGCCCTGTCCAAGATGTTGCTAATTCCTGCAGAAAAAATGCCGTGACCAACATTTGTTTCGGCCTTGCCATGGGATATAAGTCTGTCATTTTCCCAATTTTTGCCATTGCAATTAGCATTTTTGTGAGTTTCAGTTTTGCTGCCATGTATGGAATTGCTATGGCTGCCCTTGGGATGCTAAGTACCATTGCCACTGGATTGGCCATGGATGCTTACGGTCCCATCAGCAACAATGCTGCAGGTATTGCTAATATGGCTGGCATGAGTGACAGAGTTCGTGAGAGAACCGATGCCCTTGATGCTGCTGGCAATACTAGTGCTGCCATTGGAAAGGTACAGGCAATCCTTGCATATGAATATAGTTCCGGACATTGTCCTGTTGTCCTTTTAGTATCTGATTTAGATAAAATCCATGACTTTGCAGACGAAAGGGTGTCTGCGCGTAGGAACTTTTCATGAGATCACGTTCATATCATCCAGAGTCTGTGCACATTGTCCAATTCATATCTTTTTCTCCATAAAAGAATTGATATTATGCTAATTATGCAAATTGATATTATGTTAATTATGTTTGGCTATAATCACCTTTTTTTTCCTTGATGTGCTGCCTTTCATCTATCATTCTTAATTTTAGCCCTATTGTCCAAATTTACTTTCCCGTTGTTTAAATCTAATAGTAGATTGTCCATTTTTTTTTTCTTATCTGGTATGTAGGGATTCGCTATTGGATCAGCTGCTCTGGTGTCTCTCGCTCTGTGTGGTGCATTTGTGAGTCGTGCAGCAATTTCTACCGTTGATGTCTTGACACCGAAGGTCTTCATCGGTTTGATCGTGGGTGCCATGCTTCCTTACTGGTTCTCTGCGATGACCATGAAAAGTGTGGGAAGTGTAGCATTGAAGATGGTTCAGGAGGTCCGCAGGCAGTTAGACATTCCAGGGCTCAGGGAGGGTCATAAGAAGCCTGACTATGCTACATGCGTCGAAGTTTCAACTGATGCATCTATCAGCGAGATGATTCCACCTGGTGCCCTTGTCATGGTTACACCACTTATCGTTGGGACCTTCTTCGGTGTGGAGATGCTGTCTGGTGTATTGGCTGGCTCTCTTGTTTCTGCTCTTCAGGTAATCTTTACCAAAATAATCTCTATCTATTTTGGTAGTCTGTGTCGCTCAAGGTATATCTCTTGATACAATGCTCGTTAAACGGGGTTAAGATATTGTAGTTTCTTTATTCTTGAACAAATTTGTGTAGGTTGGTGAACTATGTTTGCTGATTAATGCTCTTAGAATCATAGCTATGACGATATTGGAGCTTCACATCCGTTGTCACGTTTGATTGTGGTATTTCCCTGATGTATAATATTTGTTGGGCTTGGTTTCAATCAGATGGCAATTTTTGCATTTTACCCTGGTGGAGCATGGGACAATGCGAAGAAGTACATTGAGGTGCAACTGCTCCAACTGCTCAGTTTTTGTCGATATACTCATCTGTGGTGGTTCAGTGACCTGCTAAGAAAAGTTGAATGACTGAATAGATTTTTATCTTATTGTCATGAATTTGCTTTCAGGCTGGTGCTTTGGAGCATGCGACGATCCTTGGCCCTGAAGGATCCAAGCTTCTCAAGGCTGCTTTTAGTGGAGATACCATCGGCAATCCACTAAAGGGCACTTCAGGCCCATCATTCAACATCCTCATTAAGCTGATGGCCATGGAGTCGCTCATGTTCGCTCCCTTTTTTGCTGCTTACGGTGGTCTACTGTCCAAGATATTCTGAGGAGGGAATGGACGACTGCCCTTTTGTAGCAGCAGAATCGTCATCAACTAAATTCGCACTTGGCATCTATTTCCTCGTTAGTTTTCTATAGCTTTAGTGAAAGTGATCCTTTAGGATGATGATGATGATTACGATGGTGAGGATTTTATGTTTAACATGGGTATCTCTGCATGAGTTTTAAGGTTGAACCTGGCAATTTTCGAAGTATGGACCGGCAGATTCTTCACTTTTAGTGTATTTTCTATGTTTTCCTCGTAAGAGAGAACAGTCATCAATGCCTTTAATATGCAATCGGGGTCATTTTTCAGCTGCTGATGATCTTTGCGGTATTCTTTAAATCTTGCTTTTGATGTCCATATAACTTGAAGTGTCTACTTGTTATGATGATCGTATTTGGATTATTCTTCGGATGTTCGAGGCTATGTTCATCTCTCTTCATGTAGTAAGATTACTTATGTTGGCTAATGTATCACCTAGAGGGGGTGAATAGGTAATTTCAAGAAACTTGACAAAATATTGCGAAATTTTTAATAGGTCAAGTTTGATATAAGCGTAAATCAGGTAAAAAAATGTGTTGATATACGCATGATCAGATTATATCAAGTAGTGCAATGTGCTTCTTTCGGGTAATAATGAATATGACTTATGACCATAGAGATAGAGAACGATACACTCAGAGCTTTATAATGGTTTGGTTTTGTGTAAATCTACGTCTACTCTCCCAGACTAACATCATACTAGCTAGATTTCACTAATAATCTTTGACTAGTTTAGTAGAATGTGCCGCTTATACCCAAGCACTTTTATGCTCAAGCAAATAAATCTCATTATCTCACACCTAAGTACAAACTATAGCGCTGACAACACTTCTCAAGAGAGTACAATTTCAATATACTCGAAAAGACAATGTGAGAATGTAAATCTTTATTTAAACAAGTCTTGTTGATCTCCTTAACATCTAATTTTCTAGCTGGACAATCTTCACGATGATCAATCTTGCAGATGACTGTTGGACAATTTGTTGAGCATATTAATTTAGCCTTTGAAGTCAATCGATCCGAGTTCCTATAAATTTGGTCGCCTATACAATCAAATTTTTGATTTCCAAAAAAAAATGTAGCTCAGTTATGTAAAGTATCTTGTCTTCAAGATGATTGCCAATCAATTAAGATATCACATGGGATTGATTTTTTGCGTAGATAATACGTGAGATCGATGATCAATCATTTTCTTATAAATAAGGGAGCCATACCAAATCACAAGCTGTCAAAAGATAAGATTAATTTATCTTGGCATATTAACCTCAAATCATGTGACAAATTTGTTGTCTCAAGTAGTGTAGTCGCTCCGCTTATATTAGTAATCCCCAGTTATATCTAGCTTCTCGGTAATATCATACTTTCGCTTATATCAGGTTCTAGTTATATCAAACTCCGGTTATATCAGACTTCCTGGTTATATTACAATTTTAGTATGCTCAAAAAGACAATGTAAGAATGTAAAGCTTTCTCTGAAAGGTTAATACCACGAAAAATCTCATACTGGTACACCTGTGATAAATTTACTCCAAACTGGTACACTTATGACAAATTTATCCCAAACTATTTTTTTTACCACAAAAAACCCCAAACTAGTACATCTGTAATAATTTTACCCCAAACTAATTTTTTGACCACCAAAAACCCTAAACTGGTACATCTGTGACAATTTTACCCCGAACTAATTTTTTGACCACCAAAAATCCCAAACTGGTACACCTGTGACAATTTTACCCTGAACTAATTTTTTTACCACCGAAAACCCCAAACTGGTACACCTGTGATAATTTTATCCTCCGTTAGTTTCTGTTAAATTTTACTGTCAAATTGTTAAATTTGATGACACGTAGTAGTTGACGGGTGTACAAGTTTGGGGTTTTACCCCTCTGTTTGTCACAAGTTTACCAATTTATGATTTTTCGTGATATTAATCCAATTTAACGGATACTAACGGAGGATAAATTTGTCACAAATATACTAGTTTAGGGTTTTTAGTGGTCAAAAAATTAGTTTGGGGTAAAATTTTCACAAGTGTACCAGTTTGGAGTTTTTGATGATTAAAAAATTAGTTCGGGGTAAAATTGTCACAAGTGTACCAGTATAGGGTTTTTGGTGGTCAAAAAAATAATTTAGGGTAAATTTATCACAGGTGTACCAGTTTGGGATTTTTGGTGGTCAAAAAATTAATTCATGATAAAATTATCACAGGTATACCAATTTGAGATTTTTCGTGGTATTAACCTTTCTCTGAATTTGGATTTTTGCACTCTGGATCTCATGTGCTTTTTCTTAGTGTCTTTGTTGATCTCTTTTTATACTGCTCAACATTTTCCAATTAGACAATCTTCATAAGGATCAATTTTCAAGCTGACTAAGCGCTAATTGACGATCAACTAGTCTTCTACTAGATTTTGTAGTCATTACTTCATTACATAGCATCGTATCAACATGTTTAAATAATAAAAGAATGGATATATACGGACAAACAAAATAATGGAGGAATGTGCAGGGTTTGCTTCTATATATGGAAGCCATTACTTTATTTCATTGAAAATTGAAGAGCAATTTATTAATTTAGGGTTTGCTTTAGAATAAAAAAATTAAGTATTATGGGTCAGTCAGTCCGACTGCGAACCGAACCAATTATTCCCGATTCCAAATTTTTTAAACGAGAACTGCATCAGTCCTCTCAGGAACCACCCAGTACCAGCCGATTTAGTCCAATCCTCTCCAATTTCCGAATTGGACCAGACCGATGCATGCCTCTAACTGAGGGTAAATAGTCGTTTTCCGCTGCTTTTCCTTGTTTTTTCCTTCTCTTTTAGGGTTTTTTTTTTTTGTTTTGATTCGGTTGGTTAGGTATACTGTGGATATCATATCACCATCGTACGCAACAAGAGTTATTTTATGTGGCGAATGTTTCACGTTGACATATATATATAGGTAAATTAAAGAACAATGGGAAATTTAAAAGTCAAGGTAAAAAATTAATTGAGATGCATAGCATATTAAAATATGACCGATTCTTTCCACCACATCAACCACACCATCCATAATACGTAGAATTCTTTCTCGTCCGCATCAATTTTCGGACAAATAACCATTTCTTTTATTAACTTTTCAAACCCAACATTTTCTTTTATTATCTTTTATTAACTTTTCAAAACCACCCATTCACAGTCGCATATTGATAAGTAAACCCATGATTTATTTTGCCTTTCCCACCCCCTGCTGTGAATAATAGTTGGCCTTAAACAGGCTTTTGGCACGATTTGACAAATTAAAAATCAGCATGCGTTAAACACACCTTAAAATAAGGGTTAATACCACGAAAAACCTAAATCGGTACATTTGTGACAGATTTACCCCAAACTATTTTTTGACCATAAAAAATTCCAAACCCAGTACATCTCATGATTTATCTCGAACTATTTTTTTGACCACTAAAAACCCCAAACTGGTACACTTGTGACAATTTTACCCCGAACTAATATTTTAATATTATTTTTAATTTTTTTCGAATTTTTTTAGTTTTTCTTTCTTTTCTTTTTCCTTTCCTTTTCTTTTTTTTTTCCTTCATCTTCAACCTCTCGGCCGGGCCGTCGGTCCGCGACCGGGCGGAGGGGCGGGCGAGGTCGGCTCCCGCCGGCCGCCGCGAGGTCGACCTCGACGCAACGGCAAGGTTGGCCTTGCCCCACCCCCGGCGAGGGTCGTCCTCGCTGCCGCCGGCGGCAAGGTTCGACCTCACCGCTTCGGGTGAGGCCGACTTCGGCTTGCGGGCGGGCCAAGCCGCGCCGGGCGATGGTGAGGACAACCCCTCGCCTAAGAATCGGCAAGGCCGAACCTCGCCAGGGTGGGCAAGGCCAACCTCGCCAGCTTGCCTAAGGCAAGGTCAACTCGCTGCCTACGGCCGACCTCACTCACCGACCGAGGTTAAAAATGAAGGAAAAAAAAAAAAAAAGGAAAGGAAAAAGAAAAGATAAGAAAAACTAAAAAAATCGAAAATTAATATTAAAATATTAGTTCGGGGTAAAATTATCACAGTGTATCGTTGGGGTTTTTTGTGTCAAAAAATAGTTCGGTAAAATTGTCACGTATGTACCCATTGTGGGTTTTTTATAGTCAAAAAATAGTTTTGGGTAAATCTGTCACAAGTATACCAGGTTTAGGGTTTTTCGTGGTATTAACCCTTAAAATAATTGACCAGACAAATCACGAGCTTCAGCTTTATGCGCCTTGAGCTCTGCAGCTCCCCTGCTCATTAGATGTCCGTACATTTGCGTTAATTACTTATATGCTCATAATTTTCGCTATAATTACTTCAGTTCACCAATGAATTTTGGGAAAATTGTGCAAAAAATCATGAAGTTATTGCACTTTTACTAATTCAATTTTAAATCTTTCAATTGTGCTAATTGAGGCCGTCGAAGTCGAGCCTCGTCAATGGCCGACAAGGTTGCCCCTCGCTAGATCCTTTGTTACTTGCTACCTCACAGCTGTCCACTGGCCTCTTCTCTGCCTCTCACTACCCCAGACCATCGACTTCGACATTAAGTGGCACCTGAGCTTCGCATGTAGCGTCCACCATCCCATCACTACTTTTCACCTCTACATCGGTTGTTGCTGCCTTATCTACCAAATCGCCGCGACTGCTGGACCCCCTCGGCGACTCGAGGCTCGTCTTCGTCGGTGTCCAAATCGCCTATGATACGGTGATGCTGAGCAAGATCTACTGTCAGAAGGTGGAGATGGCGGTGGATTTGGCAAAACTGGCCAGGAAGGAGATGAACTAGAGGGAGCTAAAGAGACCGGGTTTGAGAGGCTGGTGAGGGAGCTCAAGCTGTGAGATCTAGATATCGCAGAAAATTGCTGGGCAAGTGAGATTTTCAAAGATTTTAATCCTATCCTCAATTACATCAAACACGGAATTAGTTCGTGAGCAATACTCGTTTTTCTGCTTTATCAAGGGCCACGATAAATTGAATTGGTGGTCATCAAATGATAATTTGTTTTCCTTTCCTGGGTCATCAAAATGATAATTTGTTGGAATTGGAATGTCGTGCAGGGTCAGTAAGTGCAGTGTGTGGAGTATCACCGATGATATCGGCATTCTCATTGGACCCCAGCAAATCGACGTCCCCAGTTTATCTTCTTCCAGGATCACAAATCCGCCATTGAAGTGCCTGCACAGCTTTGGCTTTCGCATTTCGGCAAAACCTTTGAGACGGTGGACGATGAGGTGGGTATAAGCATGAATTAATTAAGTAGTGATT